TAGGAGAATGTTACTTTGAGAGATCACAGCAAAATGTGTTTGTGCGAAAGGATTAAGCCAATGTTGTGTGCAATATAATACGTAATGACTTATTTAACATGTAATGAAGAAATTGAAATTGAATCTCTCCCTGCATCATGCTGAGTAAGAGGCCCATTCGGCAAGGAACTGTCATATTAGATTCTTATTGTGCTTCCAGACCTCTTTTGATTCCTAAATCTTTGGATGGAGACTAATCTAAAATCAAAATGTTTCAGGGGCCTACATGCCAGAAGCAGTCACATTTGTAAAAGTTCAATGAACCTGCAGAAGAAGGTTGAGTTTTGTTGCTTTACTACAAAGCTTGCAGCCAACATACCTGCTGGTTTGCTTTTTGCTTGGGCTCATAATGTCATTGTTGTGCCTGCTTTGTCTTCTTGGGAGCAGGCTGCATTGCACTTGGGAGCAGTGCAAAAAAATACTGACCTCCTTCTGGTTAAATATATGTGTAATTAACAAGCAGCAACAAGCAGCCAGCCCACACTTTAAAAGGCAACACCGATAATAATGAGCTGGGTTTCCTTTCCTCATTATAGTCCCCAAAAGGCAGATTCTTTCTTTCTTACTTACTTACTTATTTAATAAATATGCTGTCACCACATGCCTCGGCATCTCGGGATGGCTCACAAATGTACAATTAAAAACAATAAAACAAAACAAATTCCATAAAGTTATATAAAAACAAAAAACAAAGAAGATTCTTGCAAAGTAGAATGCTAAGATTATATCCCAAAAAGAAGCCAGACTTATCAAACTAGTTTTATCACATGATCCTCCTTTCGTGTCTATCTGGCCTTGCACTTAACTTGTCTATCTCATTCCCATTTTATTTTAAAATTAAATTATAATCCAGTATCTTTGAATTGCCAGTGCTGGGTGAGTAGTGGTGGGTGGTTCAGATCACTGCTCTTTACTCTCCTGGAATAAAACAGATTCCTTCAGGTTAGATGGCATCAATTTCTGGGCTATTGTAAAACTGGCTGTCTTTTAAAAGGTAGAGTTGAACCTGTTAGTATTGTGTTGAGTTTTGTTTTGTTGCATGAGCCTAGTGCACCAAAAAGTTCTTAAATAGCCACACGATCTAGATGCTTCAGGAACTTAAAAAGTAACATGGCTATCAGCTGATTTTTCTTTCCTGTTCAGAGGCTGCTGTGATGGGTGTGATCATCCTGCAATGCCGATAGAGAAAATAGAACCTTTGAGCAGCACAGTCAGGCCAAAAGATTTTGATTTTATTGACATAATCATAACTTAATATCCGGAATGTATTCCTTGGCTCCAAGGTCCTGATCTTTTCATGAAACACAAAATTTAATTATAGTTATGCTTAGGCTGAAGTCCTATATTCACCTAGCACCAAGAACTTACTTAAGAGTTGACACACAGTACTGTATTGTCAGTCTTAAAGGTTTTAGGGAGTGGCTGGAAACTGGGCACAGTAGGAAAGATCTTTCCATCTGCTAACACAATCTCAACTGCTAACTTCCAGCCAAGTTGAGAATGCTTAATTTCTCAGAGTTTAGAGCCCAATCCATTTAGAAGTCAGTACGCTTCCGACTGCAACTTGGACAGATGTTGCAACAAACAATACAAGGTATCTGCAGTCCCTGATAGGAGAACCTCAGCCCTCCTCCAAGATGCAATAGACTATAATGAGCTATAAACCCTAATTTATTCCACTTCCTCCTCAATTTCTTTTCTTTTTCCAGCCAACACATTCTGACTTGGCTTGCATTTCACAACACCAGATTCTGGGTGAAAATCCACAATGGGTTGTCTTGTCATGCAGAATTGGACCACTTCCCACAGAGTGCTTTGTTTTAGAAAAACACCCTGATAACTCATGGCTTGCTTTGGGGATTGTTGATCATCCAGCCCAGGTGATCAATCGCATCATGAATTATGGGAAGCAGCAAATGAGCCATTCAGCAAGAGTGACACAAGCCCCTTTCTACTCTTGCTGAGCTTTCCCAGGCCAACACCAGTGACAGCTGCCCCACCAGTGTCCGAGCCATCACTGACTTGATGTGCTCAACCATGATCAGAAGCTCTTTTTCACTTGCTGCAGCTTCTTACCCTTTTACACTTCTCATTATCTCTCAGTTGACAGCAAAAACCCCTTTAGAGTAGCCAAGCAGCACTTTGGAGGGGCTGTCTCTGTTTCGACAGCCACTGCTTTTTTTAGTGCAAAAAACTTTTGCAAAAATTTTGATTATTTTTTTTTAATAGTTGCATGCATACAGAGGTGAGCAAAATGGGAAGCCACACTTGGGTGGTGCCTTGGCAGATGTCTGCTTTCAAAGTGAAGCAGGCATCAACCACAGACATTGATCCAGAGAGGCTGCAAATAAGTTTGTCTTTTACTTTGCACTCCCTTGACAGCTGCCAGAAGGCAAATTGCAAAGGGAAAAACAAAGCCATGAGTGATCTCTGCATGTGAAAGGGGTCTCAATGGCAAGATCTTCGTGTTGTTTTGTTTTGTTTTAATTCTGTTTTTCCCAGTGTTCTCACACACTTATACCTTTCATGGAGCACTGTTTATGGGAGCCGACAGTTTAAGAGGAAGCTCATTTCTCTCTAAGCTGTCAAATCTCAGTCTTCCTTTCAGAACAGTGCTATTGACAGGGCTAGCTGGACTTTTTTTTTGACAGGGACATACATATACATATGTCCCTGTTAAAAACCCCACTTTAAAAGGAACCCTGAGCTTTGACAACTACTTAAGTTCTGTGCTCCCGTAAAAGGTATGGTTCACACTTTTCCTTTTTTCCAAGCACCTAGAGATGCAGGAAAGGGTTGGAAATTCTGAGGACACTGAGGCAGGTGATCAGGTGCAACATAAGTTGTCCCTGTGCTTTCTTCTTGCTCTTCCCTCTGGTATTCCAGGGGTTTCCTCTCCTTGCAATTGTCAGCCCTTTTTGCTTGCTATGGATTGCCATTGGCTGCTAGGGTGGGTTCATGTGATGTGTAAACCTGACCTCTGATTATATTCAGCTTTCATGTGGTTTTTGTGTATGTGGGGTGGGGTAGGGGGTTGTTGCTCCTTGTTAGAGTTTAAAGCTAGAATTGTATATGTTTGGCTTCAATTGAACATGCTGATACCTCCCTCTTCTTTCTAAGCAGCGCTATTTTGGGTCCATTCCTGTTGTCGCTAAACAAACAGACTTCAGTATTAGAACGAAGGATCAGGTTGGGTTGGAGGTAGCAACCCCAAGCAATTCCTTTCTCAGTTTCTTTCTTGAGTGCTTATGTACAAATCTGCCGTTGCTATTTAAGCAGTCTCTTTCAGGACTTCACTATCTCTTGCTCTCTCCTCCTGTTCCCAGTTCCTGACTATTCAGTCTTATCCAAACAAATTGGCTTACAGTTCACAGGAATTCATCATGGAAGGCTGATTACTGCAATTTACAGTTTATAAAATGAATTGCTTCCTTGGTGTATATAAAAGATTACCTGGTGCAGAGAGGACAAGGTTATGATTTTAGACATTTCTTTTGGGACTTGAAAAAGACTCACCTACAATCTCTGGGGATGTGTTTACCTGACTAAGCCCCCCTATGTTCTATCTAATAAAATAAATGTTCTTGATCTTAAGTTCCAGGCAGCTATGTGGTCCAGTTTTGAATTTAGATTTCAGGAGCTGGAGTTTATGCAATGTGAACATGTGTTTTGAGTGTGGGGAGATGTTTTCTTATTCATTTTAAACCTACTGAATATTAATGAAATTCTCTTCCTCCAGTTCTAGTAAGATATGGAAGTCTAAAGGACTAGTTTTCCTAGGCAAGGATGGTTCCTGCAAAGGAGTAGCAGACATTGACAGCAATTACAGTCAAATTACAGGGAGGTTAGGGGCACTAGATCCCTGCAAAAATAGAAAAACTTCTAACATCTTTACCCCAAAAAACCTTCACTCTTAATACTGTTTACCATATGTGTACTGGATTGAGTCTCCCTCCCTCCCTCTCTCCCTCCCTCCCTCTCTGCATTAGGCCTGAAATATTGATACGTACACTTACAAGTTAATTGAAAAACATTTTTAATTTAAAAAATTCCACTCACCTTATGCCTTTGTGAGGATAGGCTAAGATCCACTGGCAAAAAATGGGAGATACACTGTGCACTGAGAGACAAAAACGAGGCTGGCTGGTACCGAGACAAAGTGTGCGATGTCCCCAGAGTGCATAGTCCACCATTTTCTTTACATTTTCTAGGTCTACACGTGTCATCTGCGATTTTCCACAGTAGACTGGAATACTCCAAAAGAATTTCCATTTAATTATTGATGGGAAATTCATGAATAATCAACTGTACAAAAGCTAAACCTGTGAGGTTCTCATTCTCTTCCCCTGCCAGCCTTCAGTCACTGTATACTTGCATGTAATGTACACAGCAAATCCCTTGGTTCTCTAATAATGGTATTTGTGTTATCTTTACTCCCCCAGACAAATTTTTCTGCTGTTACTCCCTTGTCCAAGCATTTTATGCATTTATGTTGGCTTCCCTTTCTCTTGCTTCTTTGCTTAATCCTAACAATGAAAATAGCAATAAAACTTTCAGGGAAACTTCCAAATGCCAATAGAGTTTAGTACTAATTGTAAAATGTTAATATTCACAGCCATAAATTTGGTCAAAACAAAGCATCTAAAACAGATCTGAAAATACAGCAAGTAAGAGGAAGATTTTTACATTGGATTCCCGCAGTAGCCATTTGTCTTCTTTTTCTGTGCTATACTTAGACGCAGAGACTTCTGCCAGGGTGAGAAGAAGAGACCAGGTGAAATAGAAGTTGGGACACAACTACTGTTGTTCAGCAGACAGTGACTGAGCTTGGGCTTCCTTTCTCAAAAGGGGAAACACAGGATCGTGGTGTATGCTTGGCCCTCTTATGCCTAAAATAATACATGCTTTTAATTACATGTGCAAGTACATGAATATATTTGTCTTTGCCTTTGACATTTCAGTGTTCTGTGTCTTGTGGACGAGGGCAGAAATACCGAGAAGTTTATTGCTTGTCGAAGGATGGAAAACATTTAGACAACAGTCTTTGTAAACAGCTGGCCAAACCGAATGTGCAAAGGAAGTGTAGAGGTGGCAGGTGCCCAAAATGGAAAGCAGGAGACTGGGGACAGGTAAGGTGTGGCATCCTACCTTTTGCACAAACAACAATGAGTAAGAAACATCTGTCTGCTTTTAAGAGAGGTTCATAGTAGTAAAGTCCGTGCTTTGGATACAGAAGGGCCCAAAGCCTTTGAGAACATTGAAGAGTGGATGTAAGAACTTAGCATAAAGGGCCTTACTCCTCGGATTTGGGCCATGGGATTTCCTTATATCTTCATTCCCACATGCCTTAGGTCTCCAATTTTATCTGTGCTTACAGCCATTCAGGTTTGCATTTGAAAGAAAGGGCCTTCCTAGTTAATCTAGTATCCTCTTTTTATAAACAGAGCTGAGTGGGGGAAGATCAGCTCCTGAGTTGCTAGGCAACTGTATGCTGCAGTCAGATGAGACATCAGGGGATCTGAACCATGCAAAGGCAGCTCTGTTTCAGCAGTTGCTAGGTAGGTCAGGCATGGAAAGCTGAGGGAAGAGTAAAGTGGAACTGTGCAGAAGGGGAGAGGAGATACGCAACGGTGTGCACTAAGACTCGTGTTCAGAAGAGACAGTGTTCCGACATGGACTCAGCGGAGCCAGATTGTCAGGAGCCTTTCTGGAAGGCATAAGCCCGCAACTTTATTTTGTTCAGGCTCTGAGGTTTCTCACCGTGCAAGGTGGGTTGGTTTGCAGGACCCTGTGAGCAGAACAGGTATTAGCAGAACCAATCCATGGGTCCAACAGACAATTGGGCTCATTGTGACTCACTTTCTCCCTTCTTTCTCCTTGGCCTTCCAGCCAGTACCCCAGTGGCTTTTATGTGTTGAACTGACAGAGCCCAGTACTCCCCCACTTTCTCAACACTTCCCTCAGGATCTGGCTACACCAAAGGGGAATAACTTAACTCCTCACGTACTCCTCATGGCTTCCTTGTTAGAGCACTTACTGCTGCAGATACCTTGTTTGTCTGGGCTTGGGAAAGTGCTGAAAAGCTGGAGGACACTGAGAAGTTCCAGTTCAACACTTAATATTAAGAGGATTGCACTGCTAAGTGGAAGTTGTGGGGGCTCCTTTTGGTGCACCTAATTTGTTGCTTTCCCCAATTTTTTGTACTTTTCAATTGACAGTTTGGCCTTTGCATCTTAAGTGTGCAAATTGCCTGATCAGTTTCTGTGTCTGCCACCCACTTCACTTTGCTTCTCTCTCTAACAACTGAAACATACAGGAAAATTGATCAGAAAAGACTGCACATAGCAAGCAGCTGTAAGGGAGCACTTTAGAATTTATGGGGCCAAATCCAGAGTATATGCATGACAGTCACTCCACACCATGCATCATGGATGGGTCTTTCACTGGTGCTGGCAATGATGAGGTTGTGAAGAGCAGCAGGGTTTCTTGCTGCTCTCGCTGAGTCGCTTGCTAGACAATCCCTATAACCCATGTTGAAATTGCACTGCCAGTCTCAAATGACATGACAACCCATTCCTAGAACAAGCTCTGTGCTGTCAGGGAAACATGTTGCCCAAAATTAAGCCACTCTTTAGGAAGCAGTCTAAGTTTGGAAGGTGTGACAACCCACTGTGGTTAGTTACCCGTGATGGATTGTCATGTTGTCCAAATCATGTTATTCTTGGCTTCCTCAGAGGGGAGAATGGCAACACAAGAATGAAGGGATGTTGAGCCTGCTTTTGCTATTAACAGAAGAATTGTATTTGTTTGCTCTCCTGCTTGCTGAATCTGGTCAAAATAGGAAATTAGGGACTCTCTGGCTCACAACTGCTTCTCCAGGATCATGAGCCTGTGGGTGATGCTACTGGACCTTGGCTGGGAAGAATTGCCTTCACATAGACATACAGTATTCCAGGGTGGCTGTGGGGCTGACACTAGGATTTGTGATCGTAAGCAACGTGCCTCCTATGTACCCTCCTTCTCTCACATGCTTACCAGCAGGCAGGTATAAATGGGAACCAAGGGGCAGAGCGGATGGGGAGCACTGCAGGGTAAATTAGAAGGATTGTGGGTGACAGAGTGGGTTGGAGGGTCCAGCTGCCCTGCACTTCTTCCACCCAGTGCTGGAAGTGCTGAATGAAGAGCCATTGCCACCACTGCCACCATCTTCCTCCTTCCCTCAGGCACAGTATTTCTCTTTATAGTCATACGGTTTGAAAGTTTTCAGGGGTAGCCCTCTTGTAGGCATTCTGGGGCCCTTACATGCAGCCCAACCCTACCATGCCAGATGCTGACACTGGCTCTAGTTGTCAGTCTGAGCTAAATTGTTAACTAACTCACTCATCACTAGTTTGGACTTGGCCTTTCTTTTCTTTTATAGGTGTCTGCATGATTTTGTGTGTTCATAGAAAGATGCCACTGATTAACTTAACAGCTCTGATGAATTCTTAAATTATTGGCACATTAACAAGATCAGTCTATGAGTCTGAGGTCTTGTCTAACTGCTAAGATACAGTGGCCAAGTTCAGACATCAGAGTAGACTAGAACTCTTTAAAGTTATGGATGAGCACGTGTGCTGATGCAGGCTGCTTGATCGCTGCGGCATGGCTCCTGCCAGTGGAAGCAGCTGAACAAGCCAGAGACTCTCCATCCGTGTTTTGTTTCGCAGAATGTCTGTCCTGGAGTCTTCAAACAAGCCAGAGCGATAAGCTAAAGACAACCCTGGCATAAGAGTCTAGCTTGTTAAGGGAGGAACTTGGCAGAGACCTGGGTTTGAGCATAAACAAATCACAAATGGAGAATCCCTGGCTTGTTTAGTTGCTCCTGCTGGAAGAAGCGATCGAGTGAGGGTGCTGAAGCTGTCTAAATACCTGCTGCTTTTGGTCACAAGTTTTGGACCTCTGTTTGAAACTCACAAAAACATTTTTAGCTAATAAAGCCATGCCAGCTAACATGTAACAGTATGTCAGAGGCTTGAACACATATAAAAATAGACAACTGAATTTTTTTAAGCATTACTCCAGGTGATTGATTCCAATTCAAAAAGAAACAAAAATTAATGAAGAGATAGTTTGATTTATAGCCTATGATAATCTGTTGTGACTTCGCAATTAAAGGCTATGATTGCAATGCTGCGCCCGGTTGCATATGCTCAGCCCTACTGACACCAAGGGAAGCATGTCTAACTGTGTGCAGGATTGCAGCTAATCTGTATGCTAATGATTAGTTTATGATTGCGATAGTTCAGGCCTAGCGGAGGCTTTGTTCTTCAGTTGGTGTAATTTGAAATGTCTGTCACCTTTGTATTGTGAGTGATACCAACTTAAGCCATCTGGTGATCTGGCCATAAAGCTAAAGCACTGCTGTGAAAGTGATTTTATTTTTCATTACAGAAATCTAGTGGCAGCCTCTTAGAACTTTTAAAAATCTGTCATAAGTGTTCATACAGCGGTTCCTTATATAGCTGTTCTACAAAGACGTATCATTCATCATGGCTCAGTGCAATGGCACATTTTGTCTAGCATTGCCGAGCAAGAGCACAAGAACTCTTGAATAATGCTTCACTGGAATGTCATTCTCCTTTGTGCTAGATACCAGTGTTCAGGAAATATTTTTATTAGCTGCTGCAACCATATTCCAGACATAGTGTTTTCTAAATCTCATTCTTAAACTTTATAGAGAAGTGATCATTTTAAAAGAATGTAAGAATGTAGATACCCAAGTTTTTGTGAGCTATTCCTAAATTCAGGGGGAAGACGCTTAGTTGTATGATAAAAAAGAGACATATTGTTGCCTAGCACTTTTGTCTGGGCGATCACAGGCAGGAAGGAAGGAAGGAAGGAAGGGAAGGAGAAAGATGGGGTGGGGAAAGAGAAGCAGTCTCATGGTGTACTTTAATGAGGACAGTACTTTGGAAAGAAAATATCTGGAGAAAAGAACATTTTCTCACTGGGTTTCCAGTATTATCAATCAATGTACAAGGGGGAGAAATAGACACATAAAAAACACATAACTACAAGGATCATAGTGCTCTATCAGCTTAGCAGCTAACTAGCTTTACAGGGAGTTGAATCATGTGCTACGACTAGGTTGAGAGATGATATGGCCTGGATTACCGGTTGCTGGAAACATGAATGGAAGGGTGCTATTGCACAATGTTTTGCATGCTATAGGAATCTGGTTAGTACCATAAGATAATTCCTACCCAGCCATATCATCTGAAATAGGGCATTGGCTGTAGTCACTGCACCCACCTGAAATTTATTTTGCCAGTGGGTTACCAATTTTGGGCCAGCTTGTATCTTTTCAGATTTGTGCCTGAGGCTAGAATTTGCTAATCCTTACCTGCATGATCATGTTAACAAGGCTATATTCAAGACCATTCATTCATCAATACCAGCCAAAACTTTTAACTTCTAGAGTGCAGCTCACCATGCCTAGAACAGCTTGCCACTTGCTACAAATCAACCCATCTTCCTTATAACCGACTTCTGCCACCACATATTTTATGGCTGGATGTTGTTTGGTAGCAGTTAATTATTCACAATTGTTTGCATGGCCTGGTCTCACTGTGATCTCTTAGGTCTTCCATTCCAGCTCATCATTCATCGTGAAAATGTAAAATTTTATTTATTTATTTATTTATTAAAACATTTTTATGCCGCCCCATTCGCCGAAATTGTTTCTGCTGCTTTAGTTCATTTATCAGTTCTTCTCAAACTGTCCTCGGAAGCCATTTAGATGTTTGGTATTTTCAAATCCCAGATATTCATCCAGTGTGCAAATACCCAGCATATATTACTGATGCCTCTTTTTTTTTTCTATACATACTTAAGTGGAAAGTGTTCTGAAGGGGAAAAAATGAGTAAGCTAGCAAACGGCTCACCTACACAATGTATAAGCCAGTAAATTTTCACAGCTAGATAAGTTTAGCAGATGTTTGGACAGTTGAAGTCAGAAGTGAGGTACATCCCAAAATTTTGAAAACAGAGTTTTGAGATCTGGTTATTTTAAACACCCACATACACCAGTGCTTTAATGTAAAGGGGTTGTTTGCACAAATGTATCTGTGTACAAAAATCTATATACTGAGTTCTATACTATGTGCAAGATTGTTTTCACTATATTGGCAATATAGGTATCAATATCTGCCTCAAAAGAATTATCACTACCTGAATAGGAATGGCCTCATTATAATCAGGATAATTCCTTTGATTTGATTTAGCTTCGCTTACCTTATATCATATGTATTATTACAACATTCATGCAAATTAAATCCTTGAATATTACCAATCAGGTCTAAATCCCATTTCAAAATATATTAAAGTGAGTTGTTTTGTATACATTCCTTTAGCTATGATTCTGCTATCCCATGAGGAATGCAGAGGATAAAACAGTGTTATTAATCACAATAGAATGTGCCACGCCATATGGGAAGCATTTGCATCAGCTGATAGGAAAATCAAGTTGCATTTGTCGCACTTTTTTCAAGTTATAAAATTGGTCTTTCATAAATATTTATAACCTGAAGGAATGTCCACAGTCAGCTTGTTTTTTTGGTCTTTTCACTTCATAGCACACAGAGACAATAAAATAATGCAGAATAGGAGAAGCCCATTTTTAAAAAGTTGTTTGGATAAAAGGATGTCAATATTTTCTTGACAATGTGCATGACAACAAACTGTAAATGTAAGGAAATGCTATGAAATTGTAATTTGCAAGAAAAAGAAATTTTTCATTGAAACTGAAAGTACATTTTACTCATATGAATGTGACATTAAATTTTAAAATTTGCTTTCAATAACTCTTATGTTAACAAGAGACACTTGCTAATGTCTACATGGTGTCTATGAAATCTGTTTCAAGTGTCTTATAAATAAATCCAAGAAAGGCTACAGATATAACATTAACAAGTTATAAATTGTTGTTTAATAGTTCTTGCATTTTTAGCAAGGCTTATTCAGCCCTTGTCTAAAAGTGCTAAATGTCAGCCATAATAGCTGTGTTTCAGCTAGAAACCTTCTTGACTTTTGAACACTTTCACTCTCCAGTTAATTATTCTCTTCTAAAAACACTCAAACTGCCTTTTAGGATACCCTGCTGAGCAATATACATCCATTGCCACATGCAGGCAAACAATTCTTTGCAAATCTACTAGGAAGCAAGTCCAGTTGAATCAGGAAACTTACCTCTGTGCAAACATGCGTAGAATCGGGCTGCAACATGTTCTTCAACATATCAGCCACACTATACCCCATTATCTGTGAAAACACAAGCGCAGCTGGATATCGCAAACATTGTTAACATTTGCCTATTTATAGTCAGACACAATCCTATGCAAGCTTGGAAAGAAAGAGTTAGCTAGCTAGCTGGAGTTGCAGGGCCTTTTACTGTCTAAACTTGCATAGGATTGCACCCTTAATGACACTGTTAAAAACAAAGACCAGTAGACAGATTGGAATGTATTTTTAAATACGTAGCTTTCATTAGAATTAGCTTTAGAGTTAATATGTTGAAATAATAGTAAATCAAGAGCAAATTAAATGAAAAACAGAAATAATATTGAAAGATTGTTGGCAGGGAATTGAACACACGCTAGTTTGCTGTAGTGCACGTAGGAAAGCTTGTTGCATGAGGAGGTGGGAGGAGGTAGCCACCAAGTCGATAATGTGAGTGCGATCCTGTTGGGATGTCCCATATTCTTCCACAATGACAGTCTTTCTACAGCCGGACTTAATCTGCAAGGGTAGCAGCATCTCTGCTGCCTTTTGCTTTTTTGTGATTTTCTAGATTGGAACCATTCATTGTCGTTATTATTAAACCACGGAAGTTGAGACTTTCAATATCCATGGTTGCATGGACATGTATTATCTATGCAACCATGATCTGGCATTCAGGATGCAGCTTGAAAAGGACATATTTTTGGAGTATACAAAATACGTCCTAGCCTGCACATGTAGATTTGGTGGCCCATACAGTACGCTTTTCTACCCAAGTAGGAAGCCTGTGAATCAAAGGAGAGAGATTGAAGTGGCTGTTTCTGTTAATCAACTGCAGTATATTATGCATTACATACTTTGTAAAAGTTTTCTTTTGCATGTGTTGCTATACTCTGAGGATTGTAAGGATTTAGGGATCCAAGATTATGAAATTTATGCTGCGAGTATTAACTGGATGGAAAAGCAATGCAACAGATACGATGATCTGAATAGTGGATTTTACCAAAGCACAAGAATTTCCAGGCCAGAGGCCCTACACATAAGGGAGTGAGGTATCAACCAGTCCCAAATGCCTGTGTCCAGCCCGGCTCAAAAAGACCAGCATGTGGTATCTGGATTTTTAGCAAAATATCAGTGGCAGCAGTCTTTCTTAGTATTCAGTGTTCTATTTCCTTTCCTTATCAAAGAAAGATGGGGTGGGGGGGAGATTTAAGCAAGATATCTGACATTTACTGTTTATACTTCTTCAGTGTTCTGTGTCCTGTGGGAGAGGAGTTTGGCAGAGAAGTGTCTTCTGCCACCTTGGTTCTCACAAAACCACTAGAGAGATTGAATGCAATCAGTCCAACAGACCAGCTTCAGAACAGGAATGCCAAATGACTGAATGTTCTATCTACAATTGGGAAGCAGAGAGTTGGGAAGATGTAAGTACTCAGTAAGGAAAATGTATTGCAGCAAGCCTGTTCCTGACACATTCTTCACTGCCATGTTGTACCCTGTGGGGAGCTGAGAAACTGGCTGAGTCAAATATATTATTGCCAGGCAACCAGAGGACCAAGTGACCGGCTGGTTCAACGTACTCCATTTTCAGGTGGCCAAAGTTAATGACTCTCTCTTAGAAAACCACCGTTAGGTCTGTGATGCACATCCCCAAAGCTCCATGGAGGAAAGGTGAGCTAAGAAGTTTATAAATAAATAGCACTGAGTAAGTTAAAAGGCTATATATAATAAGGTACCTCTGTGTGTTCCCATCGCAGTATTGTGACTCCTTCTGTTCTTCAGAAACCCAGTTTAAGTTAACCGCATAAAGAATTGTAGCCACAGAAAAGCCTGTGTTTTGGAAAAGCTTGTTTAACAGATACCAAATACATAACGCTATAATCTAGAAGTATCACGAGCAAGGTAAGTGTGACAGATTTCTAACAAAGGCATCAGCATTTCTTTCAGACCAGTTTAAAAAGCCTTGCCAGAAATTACATTGCACTGGTAGGACTGGTGATCACTTCTACTATATGGGATATATCCTGTATTTGGGCATTTATGCAGAACAGACCTGCTGCCATTGGCCAGTGCCAGCTAGATCCTCAGAATGTTAGCTCAGGCAAACACTGAGCATTAAGTTCTTAAGGAAACACCAGGCAAAATGCATAGCTTTTAAAATCAGATGTACCTCACCTGTCCAATACCAGAAAAATGGACAGCATCACCCATAGTTTTAATTATTACCATGTATGGCAAAAGGTTGCCAATTTTTCTTCAGTATAATCTGTTGTGCTGATAAAGGATAATTGATAAGAACAAACTTGTTCCATTTGGAAAGAGTCTCTTTGTATAATTGATAAGTGCGTGGTTGAATTCTTCACAGACAATTCATACCTCTTTTGAATGCTGCTTTTCTCTGAAGCAATTTGCAGTTCCATCCCTGAGATGCTTGAAAGCAAATAGTTATTGTAATGTCTATATTAAAGATGAACCCTAATCATAGGATAAGATGCTGGGCAAAATCTAGAAATGACCACTCTCCTTAAATGTGTGATGCACTGAATGGCTGAAAATTATGTGCTTTGGACGAAATGTGATATGCTTGATCAAACAGCTCTAGAAATAACCACTCAAATCCCCAAATCATTCATGACAGGCTGATCATTTCAGTTCTACATCTGCTGTAACTATTAGCCAGTTCACATGTGTGTGGGTCTGTCCAGCTGTTCACATTGTTTGAGATTCAGTCACAGGAGGGGTAAGGGCATGCCTTGCATGCAGAATTCCCCAGGTATGGTCCTAGTTTCTCCAGCAGGGTTGGGAAAGGCCCCCATCTGAATCATCAGAAAGCTGCTACTGGTTAGAATTGACAATACTAAGCTCAATGGACCAGTGAACTGGCTCAGTGTAAGGCAGCTTCCTGTGTGAACATCTCGTAAAGCCCAGTGAGATAACGTGTATGTGAGAGGGGTGATTATAAAAGCAGAGGAAATACAGCAGATGGAAAAGAATCAATATAAAAATGTGTGTCTGAATAGTTGGAGTTCCTGCCTTTGTTTTTTTTCTGCAAAACCTGCAAAAAACTGTTCTGATAGCAAAAGGATTAGAAGAAAAAGAATCAAAATGTATGGGGTCAAAAGGGAGGCAGATGGAGGCAAGAGTAGCATTTAATGAGTCAGAAGCAGAAAACCAAGACTTCACAGGAAGTTTTGTTTTTGTGTTTGCATAAAGCCTGGCAATTTATTAATATTGAACTTTATACAGTCAGAATTTTACAACAGCTTAGAATCAAGCTATGTGTTATCTTTAATACATAGCATGCAGCTCACTTTCTGGTTTTGTTTTGGCAGGCACCCGGAGTAGGCATAGTGTATGAAAAGGGAAATTTAATCCTTTCTTTCCCAGAACTGTTCCTTTAAAAAATGGTCTAAAGGTTGATTTTTGAGAAGGAAGGGAGGACAAAAAAGAGCTGCATGCTATGTATTTAACATTTTTATAGGTTGGCCCTTGCTATATATTGGGGAAAGGAGGTTATGTGAACAGAACACTCCTTTTTAGTCATTTGGTTGTCCTTGATTTATTTTGTTTTGTAACTATTCCCTTAAACAGGTAGATCAGATGATTGTGGGTTATGAGAGGCATGTATGTGTGTGCCTTGATATGTGATGGGTGCCTAGTGCCATTTGTTTCACATGCTATATCTTTAATAGATGAAGAATAAACATTTTAATAAATATTTGAGTTGCACAGGGGAAAAATTTGGAATGGAGTTTGTAGGGTCAGTTACCTTACATTGCACACCTCCAAATAGTTTTAGCACAGTGAAAGTACTATTACGTGGTAACCAGAATGTTCAGGGTGTGAAAAAATAGAATAAAATGTTTAATAAATCCACCCTTCTTAAATATTCAGAATCACATAAAAACTTTTCGCTCCATGCTTTGCTTGCTAAAAATCAATTTTGAAGAGATACATAGATACATTTCAAAATACAAAAGACAACCCCAGTTCCTGGTTCTCCAGATTGTAAAAGACCAACGTTTTCTTAGCGAATAGAAAGAATTTTCAAAGCTGGCAGTAACTTTCTTCTACCAGGTTATCCTTCAGTTGTCACAGTCAAACTCACAGAGTGCAGGACAGAAATCATTATTTCACTTAACTTGTATTGTGGACCATGGGAATAATTTTAAAGCAGAAAATACATATTTTTGCATTTTTCTGTTAGCTTATGGTTCAGAGCTGCTGCAATACCATACAGTGACAAGTGAGGATTAATGGAAACTCCAAGGAAGCATATATTCAAGAGGTGTAAAATTACATGACTTGAACTGTGCTGCAGTAATACTCTAGCTTAGAGTCGGGTTCTCTCTGTCAGCATTGTATAAATAGGGAACAAAGAAAGCCCCAACCAACAAAACCACTATTAAAAGGAAAGCGAGATACTGTAAGAAATATGGTATATAAATAGAAGTCATCCAAATTAATTCAGGTAATACTTTTACAAGGGCTTAAGATTTTGGTAACTAAATAGCATGCATTTGAAGGACTTACCAATTGGAGTAATTAGCTTCCAAAGCAATTTTTTCTGCCCTGGCTTTTTGCTTTCTCTCTTGCTCTGTCTGGTTCTCTCTCTCTCTCTCTCTCTCTCTCTCTCTCTCTCTCTCTCTCTCTCTCTCTTGCACACACACACACGCACATACACTCACATGCATGCACACTATTTTAGTTATAACTTCCACAACTGGAAAGCATTAGATACCCTTCCCCCCCGCCACTGCCCACCCTTTTGTGGGAGGTGAATGTTGGATGGGTCATGCTGCTTTTCTAAAACTTTCCAGACTCCCCCTGTGTGGTTTGGTGTGAGCATGTGTGATCTCTAACTTGTGACAGAACAGACTACAGGGAATTTTTTAAAAAAAATCTTAAATCCCTAACATCTTATTTCCCGTTTAAAAAGCCATAAATTAAGCAACAGTCCAGATCTAGCACACATCTTAAACTGTATAATTCTTTACCGGGCTTGGGGGCAGGTTGGTTTGGATGGTAGTCTGCAAAAGCAAAACAAAAAAGGGGGAAGTTTGCCTGCAATAGAAATATGTTGCAAGTTATTTATTGAGAGGTGAAGTACAGACTGAATCAACCTACTGGTAGTAAATCCAAGCTGATAGAAAAGGCTTGTTGGAAACAAGGCTGCACCCTCATTAATGACCAGGACCCTCTGTCCCTTCCTGGTTCAATTTACCCTGCTCTCATTTATAGCTCTTGTTGAATTCTGATGTGCTTGTTCTCTGCTACTTAAGTATTTAGAAATCAATTTGAGCAGCCTTCTACATAAGGCTGCCATTATTGTTGCTCTGCAAACTCCATCTGGTATAAATTGAGGTAGCCTAGCTGTAAACAGGAACCTCCTGTGTTTGTTTGTTTGTTTGTTTGTTTGTTTAAAACATTTCTATCCCATTTTTATCCAGACAGATTTCAGGTTGGTTTATAATTAAAGTGTAACAGCATATTAAAATACTATTTACTATTGCATATAAATTATACAATAAACAGAAAAGGCCCTTCCCTGGGTAGCCAGAGAGGACTCCAGAAGAAGGATGCCAGTAGAAGACCAGTGCTGAAAGTGTGGAGTAACCATGTTAGTCTCTTGCAGCAAAAACAACAAGGTCTTACAGCACTTTAAAGACTAACACGTTTATTACGGTATTGGTTTTAGTGGATTGTATGATGAAGTGTTTCCTAGTTCATGCAAGATTAAGCCACAAGACATTTGTTAGCCTTTAAAGATTCCATGAGATTCACTTATTTTTGCTGTCTACAAGTTTGTTTCTGGGCATTATTCAGGGTGCTGGTTCCAGTCTTTGACTGCTGTAGGCATTGCTTCTGTATAGGTCTTGTGGGCAGGATCCCCTGTTCTGTGTTGAGACACCTCTAGAAGCAGGGTGCTTTCTGCAGTACCATCACATTTGTGGAACTCCCACTACATGAGATGCTTTGAGCTCTGTCCATTGGAAGCTTCTAGAGATTGTAGGGTATATATTTTTTATCAGATAGCAGTATCAGATGGCATAAAACATCAGTCAGCTGTATGAATACAAGTTGCCCCATTAAAAAACAGCTTTTGGGATAACAGCTGAAGAAGGCTTCATGTATCTCTCTCAAACAAAGGATTCCAGAGCATTTGGACTGCCACCAAAAATGCCCCTTAGATGGAAGCTGGGGCAGAATTCCGTTAGAAGATTTTAGGTGCCTCAGGGGAGGAAATCTTAAATGAGAGCAAACATTTCTTGACATACTGGTTTCAGTATTTCCACCAGATTCTCACACTTGAGATTTCCACTGTTGAAGAGCTGGAGATGCTGCCAGGCACATGCCTTCAATATAGCAAGGGACAAGAGGGCGGAATGTGGCACTGTAGGCAACAGCGGGGGATGGGGGCAGTGTGCTGGCTGCATTGACAGGAACAGTGCTAGATGAAGTGTTTGCAGTGGCTGCCACCATTTTAATATGCCCATATTACCTCTGTGCAGCATAGGTCAGGATTAGAAAAATTCTGCAGAAATTAAGATGGTGACAATTTCAGCCCTTTCACCAGTGGTTTTCTTACCAATACACTGGCTCATGAAAAGTGTGCATATGTGAATACACACACACACACACACAAATGCCAACATCAGCCCCAATGCACCCTCCAGGGCCCACAGACTGAGCATTTCAGATGCTGATAAACAGCCATTAAGTACATCTCTGCAATGCATGCTGATCATAATTTAGTCAGAAAGCCTCTCTTAAATAATCTTAGGGCCTATTAATTGATCTTCAATAAGTTGTTATAGTTCCTTCATCTTTTAAAATTGAAAGATTTGATAGACATTGGCTAATGACATACTACTGCATTCCAAACTAAAGGTAAAGATTTGTTTGGGCATCAGTAGTGAGAGAAGCCCGTAGGGGAGCCTCTTAAGGCTCAGTTCTCTACATGTTTAGACAGAAAATAAGTCCTGGGGAGTCCTGGGATTTGCAGAACCTTTTTTGCTTACAGTCAGCAATCCTTCATTAAAGTAGGTAAAGATTTGATTCTGCACTTTAATTTAGTGCAGCAGACAGGCTAGCAAATTATACTATTATAATTACTATCCTGTGTTTATTGGAGAATTCTGGATAGGCTAAGGTGTTAAACAAGTTTAACTTACTCAAGATGTAACCAACTGTGTGCAAGGTAATTACATTAGATAAGCATTAAGAAGAATCTAGAAAAATTTTAATTACAATTTTTCCTGGATTCTAATGTCTCTAAAACCCAGTAGGCAGAGGGACTCAGATGCAGTTTTTGCACCTTCCTTAGAGCATCATATCTCATAGGGGCACCTGCCTCCTGTTTCCGAATCTCAGCTTTGAAGTGCAGGTGCCTGCTTTTCCTAGCATTGATTAGACAGACTGTGAGTTCTTGTGCTCTACCCAGACAATCTGTCCCAGCGACAATTCCTGCTATTAAGCACAAGTGATAAGAAATGCCTTACTGGTTTCTCATTTAGCCCAGTATTCTTGACTGCAGCATCAACACTTATAACACGTAAGGAATCCTGTTCTTCTACGTTATGCTGTTTAGTCACAGCAGGCAACAGTTGGGAGCAGAGCCTGCGACTTGCTAGATCAGAAATCTCCAGAGTTTTCTCACAGCATGCTTAAGATTTGGCTTGCTTCACACAGCAGCAAGCTCAGCTGTGCCACTGAGCACGCACGTCAGGGGCAGGCAGTCCTGATTTTCGGGGAGGTATCTGTATGAAATGCTTGCTTTCAAATGCTTGGTAGTCACATTAATACTTCACAGTTTTAGGTGTGGCATGCAAATACGTGATGTGTGAAGCAGGCTGCTCCAGCAGCATGCAAATGCAATGTACCAGGTAGTTCTCTTGCCCTGTGGAGCCATCATCTGCCCCTCCAACTTTTTTGCCCCAACCCTCTGCAACCCATCCTCACCAGCGGATATCAAAAACTATGTGCCTGATGAAGAAACTTCTCCATTGGTCCAACCCAGCTCCTACTCTCCAAATGCGGAGAATTTAATTGGCCTATGAACTGGCAGTACTGCAGCTTCCAGTGAGACCCAAAGCACACTTGACTTGAGGGATGGCGGCTTTGCTGCATTACGTGCAGGCATCCAACTGTTGGATCTTTTCAAGGCAACATCTTGGTTGGCACATCCACCTTCGCCAAGCATTGCTGCCTTGATGTTCATGCCAGGGGCAACTGTGCATCTGGGAGAGCAGTCCTCTCAGCAGTACTGCAATGATGACACCAACCCACCATCCACATATGGGTAAGCTTGCTAGTCACCCATATTTGTGATGCACAGAGACCAAGAAGAAGAAAGGCTAGTTACTTACCTGTAATGGTTGTTCTTCAAGTGGTCATCTGTGCATTCAACACAACCCACGTGTTAGCTGTTGACCCTTCCCAGTAACAGGCTGCATGCAGACACAGAGCCTATATGTGTGAATGCACAGATTATCATTCAAAGAATGGCCGTTTCAGGCAAGCAGTGAGCCTTTCACCACCTCTCTCAGGCTGTGTAGGAACACTCCCTCCCTCAAGGAACCTCCCAGAGAGCTTTGGCTGCTGGCAAGGACCTTAATGACAAACTCCCAACATTTCTAGCCAGCAGGGCCAATGGTTTAGTTCTATCCCAAACATCTGAAGGACACAAAAATAAGACTGCTATTAGATAATGCACACTGGGAATACACACCTGTGCTTCATTTTAGGCTCTCACTGAGAAAAGTTGTCTCCTGTCCCCACTTCCATTCTAAGCCTCTGTGCCAACTTCACCACTGAGGCAAATAAAAAGAACAGAAAGTTTGGCAAAACAAAATACCCCTCCAAAAGGTCAAGAGAGGAATCTCCCCAATGGGCAGCACATCCGCATCTTTCTTTCCTGTCTTAGCTCCACTAACCTCTGTCTCTGATATTTCTCTTGACAGTGCAGCAAAACATGCGGTGAAGGGTCCAGATACCGCAAAGTGATATGCAGGGACCAAAATAGGCAAGAAGTTGACAGCCGTCACTGTGAACCAGGCAAGAGGCCACCTGATGTGGAAACCTGCAACTTGCCGCCATGTGAATATATTTGGATCACAGGGGAGTGGTCAGAGGTACGTATGAAATATTTCTGGACTATAAACATCCTCCACTAAAACTAGTCTATGACAATCACGCAGTGTCATAATTTTCTTTAAATTAATCTGTAGGGTCCTGCAAAATAACTTCCTCATGGTTGATTTGCTTGTCTCTAAGAAGAGAAAGCATGAATTTGGGGTAGAAAAGGTCCTATTAGGGCATCCTGCCCGTTAACTCATGATTGGAGGGCTTTCCATAACTATGGGGCAGCTGCCGCTTTTGCCATTCGCATATGGGTGATGCTGTTAAAAACCATCGTCTGTCCTAACAGTTGCAGTGAAGCTTAGGAAGGGCACAGGAGTGGGTGTCACTGGACAGCTGCTAAAGCTGTTGTAAGCCGCCCCGGCATAAAAATGTTTTAATAAATAAAAATAAAGCCCACATCCCTGCATGGGGCCCACTGCCAGTCCCTCAGCATGTGTTCCTGCTTCTGCGTGTACTCTCTCTCTCTGACTCCTTTTGCTACCTCCACAAGCAATATCTGGACTTGACAGCAAGAACATTATCAAAATGCCTCTGGAAACATGCAGAGTGCTTTTACCTTTCCACCCAGCAAATGGCAGCCTGGTCCTCTTCAGGATTAAGAAGAAGGACTAACAGGAGAGGTGGCATTGTTCTGCACAGATACTCTGTAGGTTTCATCTTAAAAACTGAACATTTCACTCCACGTTCCCTGCAAGTGAGCTAGAAGTACAGAACAGAGTCCCTCTCTTTAAAAAATGCAAAACAAAACCTCCCAGCCTTCTGGGATCTAACAACACTTCCAGGAGAAGCTTCAATGAAACAACATCAGAATTGGAAGCTCTTGGGAGGAAAATCCAAACACTGGGGCCCAGGTATTCTTCCCCAATCATACCAGTACATGGAAGAGGAAATGATGGGGAAAGAAAAATCCTTTAATTGAATGACTGACCACGATGATGGTGCTGTAAAGAGAGGTTTCAATTCTGGGAGCACAAGCTAAGGTTTCTGGAAGATGGGCTATTGGCAAATGATGGGCTGCACCTCACAATGAATGAAAAGCATGTGTTTGGCCACTAAAGTTCATCAAGAGGGCTTTAAACTGAAACATACAGGGGAGGGAGATGTGCAGCATAGCATACCATCACCTGTCAAAGACTTATGCATTTCAACAGAGAAAAACCCTCAAGCAGGGCTCAACATCAGTTTCCCAAAAAATGTAGGAAGAATAGCAGGGCACAACATGAATGAACTTTGATGCCTCTACACCAATGCCTAGAATATTTAGTTGTAAACTGTCCCGAGACATCTGTGAAAGGACAGTATAGAAAAGTTTTAAATAAATAAATACGGGAAATAAACAGCATGTACTTGAGCTCATAGTACTTGAGGAAAATTATGATCTTACAGGAATAACTGAAACTTGGTGGGACAGTTCACATGACTGTAGCTCTACAATTGATGAATACAACCTGTTCAAGAAAAATAGAAAGGACAAAAGGGGATGTGGAGTCACACTATACATAAAAGACCCATATAGCCTCACAGAAATACAAGAAGAGAAACTTAATAGCCCCATTGAAAGCATCTAGCTTAATTTAAAGGGAGCAAAACATAAGAAAAACTTGGTTAATGGAATCTATTATCGAGTACCCATTCAAAAAGAGAACAAGGATGCAGCGTTTGAAAAGTAACTTGCCAGCATTTCCAAGAAGAATGATGTAGTCATCATGGAGGACTTCAATTTCCTGATATATGCTGGGAGACAATTTCTGACAAACATGGCCCCTCCAAGAGATTCCTGACATGCATTACTAGCAATTTCCTCCAGCAGAAGATAGAGGAAGGAATAACAGGATCAGCTCAATTTAATACTTACAGAGATGATTTAGTGGACCAAATAGCAGCCACGGGAATTCTGGGGCAAAGTGACCATGTGATACTTGAATTCTCAGTTATAGAGACAAAGGTTAATTGCACCCAAGCACGTACCCTGGACTTCAAGAAAGCCAACTTTAATAAACTCAGAACAATGATAAGCAAGGTGCCATGGCAACTCATTCTTAACCTAGAAAGAAAGCGAGTCAGAAGGGGCTTCCCGGGCCATCTAGTCTGACCCCCGGCTCCAGCTGGTTCCGCTCATGGCATCCCTACCATGTGGATGTCCAGCCTTTCCTTGAACACCCTCACTGATGGGGCTTCAACCACCTCCTGTGGAAGCCCATTTCATACCCTAGGGGACCTAACTGTCAGGAAGTACTTCCTGGCATCCAAATTAAAGAAAAAGGGCTCCCTCTGGGTGCCAAAAGAGGGGTGGGAACTCTTTAAAAATATTCTCCAAACACAACTACAAACAATTCCAACAATAAAAAGTGTAAAAGACAACAGAGGAAGCCCACATGGCTCCACAAAGAGCTAAGTGACAATCTGAAAGTAAAAAAGAACATGTGCAGGAGGAGGAAGCAGGGCAAGGAGGAATATAAACAAATAGCAAGGAATTGCAGGGATGGCATCAGGAAGGCTAAAGCAGGAAATGAACTGAGAATAGCAAGGGATGCTAATTACAACAAGAAAGCCCTCTTCAGATACATCCAAAACAAAAGACATATGAAAGAGAAGGGTGTCCAGCTACTTAAAGTGGATGGCAGAGTGATAATAGATTTTTTTATTTATTTATAATATGTTTATGCTGCACCCATCGCAGGTGGAGGTGCTCAATTTGCCTCCATTTTCCCCCACAAGACAATATACAACAAACGGGAAGTACAACCTGAAAGTCACAGATGGCAGCCCAAGACAAATGGTCAAGGAATACCTAGATGGAATAAGCAAGTTCAAATCTCCAGGGTTTGATGAACTCCATCCCAGAATCATAAAAGAGCCAGCAAAGGAACTCTCAAAACAACTGACAATTATCTTTAATCTTGGAAAACAGGAGAAGTACCAGATGTCTGGAGAAGGGCTAACATTGTCCCCATCTTCAAAAGGGGAAAAAAATGAACCTGGGAACTACAGACCAGTTAGTCTGACATCAATCCCTGGAAAAATTCTGGAGCAATTTATTAAAAAATCAGTCTGCAAGCATCTTGAAGAAAATGCAGTGCTTAATAGAAGCCAACATGGATTTATCAAAAAATAAATCCCATCAGACTACTTCAGTCTCATTTTTTGATTGGGTAACCTCCCAAATGGACTGAGGAAATACTGTGGACATAATCTACCTAGACTTTAGCAAAGCTTTCAGCATATGCCCCATGACATTCTGATAAGCAAATTAGCAAAAAAGTGGACTAGATAGAAAAACTATTAGCTGGATCCAAAACTGGCTGCTAAATTGGACACAAAGAGTGTTCATCAATGGCACCTTCTCAAATTGGAGGGAGGTAACTAGTGGTGTGCCGCAGGGTTCAGTCCTGGGTCCAGCGCTCTTCACCATCTATATTAATGATTTAGATTAATGAAGTACAAGGAAAGATAATCAAATCTGCAAACCATACAAAATTAGGTGGCAAAACAAACACCCTAGAAGACAGAATGAGGATCCAGGGTGATCGTGATAAACTTGAACACTGGGCTAAAAGCAATAGAATTAGATTTAATAGGGACAAGTGCCAAGACCTTCACCTAGAAAAAAGAAACTAAATGCATTGGTACAACATGGGTAATGCATGGCTCAGCGGAACTGAAAAAGACTTTGGAGTTATTATGGTCAACAGGCTAACTATGAGCCAACAGTGCAATGCAGCTGCAAAATGGGCAAATGCTAACTTGAGATGCATTAACTGAAGTATCGCTTCCAAATCACGATGAGTAGTAGTTCTAGTCAGACCTCCTCTGGAATACTTTGTTCAATTCTGGGCACTAAGATTTAAGAAAGATGAAGAAAAATTAGAAAGGGTCCAGAGGAGGGCAACAGAAATGAACCAGGTTTTGGAAACACTGTCCTATGAGGTGAAACTGAGAGAACTGGGCATGCTCAATCTTGAGAAGACTGAAGGGGGACATGATATCATTCTTTAGGTACTTCAAAGGTTGCCATAAAGAGAAAGGTCAAGATCTCTTCTCAATGATACCTGAGTGTAGGACACAGGATAATCAATCCAAGCTGTGACAACCCAGATTCAGGATAGAGATCTCACTGTCAGAGCAATACAGCAGTGGAACCAGTTGCCTAGAGAGGCTATGGGCTTGCCCACACTAGAGTCATCCAAGGCTGAACTGGACAGTTATCTGAGTGGGATGGTATAAAATGGTGTCCAGCAACACCAGGGGATTGGATCTGATGGCCTTCATGGCCCGTTCCACCTCTACTATTCTGTGATTCTATGAACAGCATCTCTGCACAGTTAAAATAGCCCTTGCAGGTGGGGAATATGGAATGGCTCTACAGAACGGGAGAAGCAGGAGAGAAGGAAGGAAACATTGGCGTAGCTCTAGGGCAGGGCATAGGTCTGTGGCTCCATGGACTGGAAGGTGGATGCAAATGGCAGTGTCATTTCTATGGTGGGTGCCAAAGTGTCTTTCTTCTTTATTTTTCCAGAATAGCTGTCCAGAGACAGATGGGGAAATGAAGAAGGCCACTATAACTGACTGAGCTTTTCTCTAGCACCCAGGGGCATCTTCCCTTTAAATAGTTTCCCAAAATAAAGGCAGGCATAGCAGCAACTTAGACTGTGGTTGCTCCCTTGTCCACCACTAATTCAGTGGTATCTAGTAAGACTATTGGGGAAGAACGACCAGGTGGCAATGTGGAACAGGAACAAAAAGTATCCCTTTGTCTTGTTTCAAAACTTGCAAGGATTATCCAAGATGAATTATCTGAATCCAAAAAGCGGACAGCATAGCTTGCAGTTTTTGTAAACAGTTTTCAAAAAAGAAAGGAAAAAAACGCTGCATGTTAAGCAGTGTGGGAAAGGAGGAAATCAATTCCCTTTTCTTTCTTTTGTTAAAATAAATAGAACAAGAAATGCATTTGTTCCTAGCCCATCCCACTGAACCATTTTTGTTTCATTTACAGCCCATTTTTTCTCCTTTTTCCTTTCTTTAAAAAAAATGGATTGAAGCAGGGGGTTGGATGGACGTGAGCATTTTGGGAAGAGATGGCTGTGCAGAGGAGAGCTCCCAAGAAGGCATCTTGCCCAGGGCTGCCACAAATCTGGCCATATCCCTGGAAGCAGGCTTTAAATAACTAAGGAAAGTAAAAGGGAGGTTTGAAATTGCTGCTATCTTTTCCAGTTATGTTAGGAGTACAGGAGTGGTTGGTGAATGATTAAAGCTAACATGCACAGGAGTTTGTTATTGTAGCAAACTTGGGAAAATGCTAGCAGTGAAAACACAAAATTAAAAGGGTAAGACGCATGGCTTCTTCTGGCTGCTTAAATTCTTGGTCGTTGTAGCAAGCATGGAGTGCTTATTTTGCTGCCTAAAAGCATTTTTCACAACAGCAAGGACTCAGGAAGCACACAATGTCTGCAAGGTTTCCGTGGCCTCCTGGTAGCTACCTATGTCTGCCACATTTTCTCTTTCTTCTGTGTTTCTTTCTTATTTCTTTCTTAACCCTTTCCCATTTTTCTTGATGGGTCAGCATTGTACACTGAGCAGTTGTTTTATAGGCACATTTGCATGTGAGGCAGGATCGAGAGTGAGAAGAGCAGCACTGCAATGAACTTCACATGTTTTATACTCAGCAAATATGCTCATAATTTGTCCACTTGTGGAGATGAAGACAAAAAAAAAACAATATGAACTTGGATTAGAAGAGAATACTAGGAAACTAACTGCTAACTAAAAAAAAAAACCCAATTTGTTCTCCTAAATATGAGGGTTGGACTGAGATTTTTTGAACAAATCTGAGCTGGCAGTTCTGCCCAACAACCCTGAGCATACCTGTCAAGAGAAATCAGCAGCTTTCCATTGTCTTCAGAGCTGAGCAAAGAAGGAAACAGAGTGATCCTGGCCTGCTCCTTCTGCATCATGTGAAGGAGAATTTCACACCTGGAAGAGCCACAAAGGGAAATGACAGCACTATTGCTGACCAAGCAGAAGAAGGGAAATTAGAGCAGAATGGAGCAGAATCATATAAATAAAATGCTTGCAGTTAGTGCAAATAATAGTCTTGATAAAATGCACCAATGCAGTTTCTGACATCTGTACAGGACACTGGCTTTTTTATATCCCAAATCTGGATTATTGGGGAGAGGGGCTAAGCCTCCAGGAGCAGCTGGGTGTCTCTTTGCATCACAAATATAAAGAATAGTGCTGGGCAGGTGCACTTTACAAAATATTCTCACATTTTCCTATGTTACTCTGGCTGTGAATGCTGGAGACAGGCAAGGAATGTAGTGACAGAAGGAAAGGGAGATGGAATAGGGTACAAGATTTGGTGAAAAGCGGGGACAGGATAAGAGGGAAACAGATAGTTTACTGGCTTTTAGAAGCAACCTCCATCTACTTCCTGGCCCTTGTCTACAAATGGTACCTTCTTCCAAATGCCATGGAATCAAACTCGTGGGGCTCAAGGCCATGAGGCATTTCCCTTCACATAAAACTTAATGCTTCCACAGATGCAACTCAAAGCTACTTCTTGCCATTTGTGCTGAAAGAGAAGACTGTGTATTATGCTTCTCTTCCCTCTTCATACTCTTCTTTCGTGTGTGTGAGAGAGAATGACAGAAACATTGTCAGATGTTTCTTTTGCAAGCACTTTATTTTGGTTTGACTTCACTTGGAAGCTTTTCTTAGGAAAGTTTGTTGGCAGATCATGGTCTGTGGCCCATATATTCCTTGACTCTGTGCTCGGATATATTATCCAGCAGTAAACTATAATATATCCCTCACAATTGGAGACTGTACTTCCTTAGATGGTAGTTGCATGGTCTATTATTTTCATATAATGATTAATTCCCAACATTTGGTTTTCAAAGAAACAAAATACAAGAATCCTTAACTGGGAGAATGGAGGGGAGGACAATTCTTGGCAGTGCACTGTGTTTCCTTTAGAGATTGTGGGAATTGTAGACCAAAGCATCTCAAGATGCCCAGTTTATGTACATCCACAGTGCACCGATTCTTCTCATGAAGTTTCACAGGTCTATTGACTGGTAGATCATAGAAGAATGTGGGGTGGAAGTAATCTTATCCTTTGGCAAAAGCTTACCTTGAGCATCTGATTTTTTTTTCTCCACAGTGTTCTGTGACATGTGGAAAAGGCTACAAGCAAAGGCTGGTCTCCTGCAGTGAAATTTATACAGGGAAGGACCACTATGAATATGGGTATACAAATGTGGTCAATTGCCCAGGCACACAACCACCAAATGTGCAGTCATGCTATCTAGGCGAGTGCCCAGTTTTGGCATCATGGAGAGTTGGAAATTGGGGAAGTGTATGTTTCTAATAATTTTTATTCTTATCTGTGATTCATTTTAATGTATAGTTTGCTCTGTTTGAAGAAATCTGAATAGGCAAACTGAAATAGGGCAAAGAAATAGGGGAATTCGCATAAGCCTTCCACAATCTTGAACATAATTTTATTATGTTTTCTCTGATCTTACTCCTGAAAGAATTCAAATTTCTACATCCTACACAGTGTGCACTCTTCCATCTCTCTTGCACAGATAGTTCAATGCTGCTCTGGAAACAGTCTTGGCTACAGGAATGTTCTCTTATCCTCAGGCGAGTGCTTTGTGTTTGTCAATAATTTCTATGCTGCATCCATAAGCAGTGCAGACCCTTCGCAGTTGAAGAACTATGCAAAGAAAGAAGCTGGTCTAGAGCAATGCTAAATAAATTAGGGGTAACTAAAGCATGTTTAGTCCCAGGTGGTCCTGTTGTGTGGTCCTCTGTTGCTAGGAGCTACAGAATTTTGCCACTGAGACCGACACATCTCACTTGCAGGCTGACATTCAAATGTTTCATTTCCTTTCAATTCTAACCCTTCATGATCAGGAAGTCTCTGGCATGTGTTTGGCGTTCAGAGGGATCTAATCTTGCAGTGCACAACTGTATTGCTTGGATGTAAAAATAAAATCCAACCCATATGAACTTTAGAAAAGAGCTTTTCTGACAGAGTTTGAGTGAGTCTCAAATTTGTAAGTTGGATTTCCAGCCGGCTTCACACATTGCATTGTGCACAGCTTTTGTTGTACACTTTGCTGATGTAGAAAAAAATTAGTCCAATGTAGTAACAAGTGGGACAGTCAGTCGTGATTATGCTGTTCTTCCCATTGAGTAATCATTATTGCCTTAGATGCCTTAACGGAGACCTGCAGGCGTGTGGGCTTCAGAGTGATGGGGAAGGGATTTTCATCAGAGCAAAATGGTGCATTTTTGCTTGTGCGAGGCTCTTCAAGGAGCCAAGATGCAAGTGGAAGGTGGCAGAGCATGTTCAGTGGCAGAGCATACACATAGCATTCAGAAGGGCCCAGGTTTGTTCCTTGGCATCTCCACGTAGGAGAACAAAATGCCTGCCGAGATCCTGCAGGGCTGCTGCTAGTCAGTGTTTACAACACTGGGCTAGATCCATGGTCTGACTCGATCTAAAGCAGCGTCTTATGTTCCAGCTGCTGGAGGTGTCTTCTCACTGACAGCTGGGAGTCCCCCAGCAGCTGCTTAGTAAGTTAACAGCTGAAGACTTGGACAGGTTGAACGATATGATGACTTGGGAACAGGGTTGTTGGGGAACAGGGACCTTGTGAACTCAACAAGCGTGCTGTACTGCTGAAATGGCCTGCAAAGCACACTTGGGCCAGGAGTTCCGTCTGCTTACCTTATACATTATGTAGGTGCTTGTTATATCTTTAGGCTAATCAGTAACAAAAGCCGCCCACTATCCATTAACTACTGGGAGCACCTGATGAGTTTAGATCAGGGGACCATTTCCTGTTGTGGCTTGGGGACTGGTCCAAGTTCCCTGGAGTTCCACTGTAGAGTGACCCGTGCTTTTCATTAGTAAAGGCCACTGCAGATGTTTCAAGAATGAAGGACAGTGCATTCTCTTGTAAACAGCAGTGCTGCACTGGATTCTGTTATCTAGCACCTTGATCCTAAACATGTTTTCTCAGAAGTTGTGATATGTGTGTACCATCTGGGTTTGTTTGTTGTTTTGCAAATTATTCCCCCAAACATATTGCAAACAGCTGGTGCAGTCTGCAGCTTATTCTGCTGCTTGCCTTTAATTTCCCAGTCCTTATTTTGCAAGTTACTTCTGAATTTCTGAGATGCAAGAAAATCCATAGGATATTGCAAAAGTACTAGCTTTCCTTCAACTTTCCCTTATTTCCGATGACACATTGCTGCATTTATGCATCAGTAGCTGCAGCAGCGCACCCGCCAGCTAGTAAATCTATTTGCCAAATATACTCAGAGTAGCAGTTATTATATGGTTATGTGCTGTTTGCAGCACTGAGTAGGAGCATCAGCATACGACTTGAGAAACACTCTTCTCCCACTTCCTCTTTTCATCTTTTACTGTTAAACATTAACAGACACAGCTCTGTGTACATTGTGTGTGTGTTTGTAAAATCCCTATTTAACCATCCCTATTATTTATATTGTTCTGAATAGATAGATAGATTCAGAAAAAGATAGTTCTGAATTCCACGAGGACAAATACAAATTAGAGGTGAAGCTAGCTCATACTGGTGTAGCCATATCTTCTTTGCCATTAATTTCTATTAAGCTTTGTTTTTTGTAAATGTGATGACTTTCCCTTCTCTCTCTTTCTTTCTCTGGGGTTTTAAATCTCAGCAGTAGAATTGAACTGATTTTCCTTTGTTTTTCAGTGTTCAGTGAGTTGTGGAATTGGGGTAATGCACCGGTCAGTTCAATGCCTTACAAACAATGACCAAGCAAGCACCTTGTGCCCTGATGCTTTGAAACCTGTGGAAAGAAGGGCATGCCACAATATTCATGACTGTAAGGGCCTTTGCAAATGATTTTTAGAACCGAAACTTGACTGTTGGTATTCATTCATTCATTTATTGCTTGCATTTATATACCACCCCAGTAGCCCAGAGGGTTATTCATTCGGTTGGAGAATCAGGCAGTAGTACTGATCCAGCCCCTTGGAGGATATTATGAAGCTTTTTACAGGGGATAGATATATTTTCTCATTAGGTGCTGCTATTGTTTGTTTCATTTCAATCAGGAGCTTGTCTTGGCAAAGATGCAGCTTTCAGAAAACAGAATAATTTTTAAAAGACAACTTTTCACAGAATATCAGGGCACTGATGATAGTAAAGGAGAGCCTTGCTGTTGTCATTATTCCTGTCTCTGCTAGAAGCTGCATGAGTGCCTTTCTGAGAGGAGAGGAGAGTAGTGGCACAGAGCAGCGCAGGGCAGAGCAGAGTCCAAATGGGCCTATAAGGCTGTTGAATCTAACCCATGCTCCTCCTCCACATACGGTCTCCTATCCACCTGCAGGCCTCTATCTTTCCAGCTAGCAAAGGTGACTTGATGCACTTACTCAGTGTGTAGCTATTGGAAGGCTGCATGAAAGGTACATGAGAAAGCTGTTCAACTTCTCACGAACATTAAAAAAGAATGAAACAAACATGTTAAGGTTCACAAATGATGCAGGGTTAGGGAAGCAGGAGGTATGTTACCAGTCACCAACAATGTCACAAGCCTGTTGCCATGTTTCCTCATTCACACACTCATGTATACATGTGTAACAACCAGAACAAGTCTAAAGAGGCTTTAACCAGCGGTTTGGTGCACACCTAGTGGATTTATGTACTATATTCTGAACGAAATATTTACTTCTAAAATGAGAAATTTAGCTCAGAACACATTAGAGTCCAAACACATGTGAACTTTTATTTTTAGGGGGGTTTTTCTTAACATGTATGCTTACCAGAAGATAAGAATGGCTTGTTTGATATACCCACTCCCAGTATGTTGGCCAATAGACCAATTTTAATAGGACTTTAATAAGACCTGGAAAAATTAGCATTTGCCAGATTAAAGCAGAAGCAGCAGAAGCTTTAATCGGGCACTATGAAAATTTCAGAGCAGGAGAACAGAAAGCTGTGGGACTAAAGAAGCTTGGATGTAAGTGGCAATAGTAAACTGCAGGGATGGAGAAATGATCAGTCTAAGAGAAACAGAAAGGACAGCGCCTTTTGGCCTTGCATGATTTATAGGAAACGACTTCATCTCATGATTGGTTGCAAAAGTTAGAAAACATTAACTTTTCTAACTGCTTTCTCAGGTTTAATTCCAATTAAAATTATTAATTAATTAGTTCCAATCAATTTATCCCAATTAAAACAGACTTCAAATTGCTTATTAACTATTAAATACAATTTTGTGTGGAAAGCACTCTGGCACAACTATATGTGTGGCACTAACTGGGAGGCTGAATGCAAGCTAAGGTGTCCTCAGGGATGCTCAGGTAGTGCTGGACCTATCTTGGACTGGGTTATTTTCCCTGCCAGGGCTTTTGACTGGCTAATACCAAAGTAGCTTTGTGGGTCAGTTGGCTGGGTGCTGGCATGGTAAACGGACTGGCGTTTGCATGTTTCCTTGGTTACTCCTTTGATCAAGGAGTGTGTATAGTCTATGGCTTTTGTGCTTCTGCAGCAGTTCCAGTTAAGATAATTTACGGCAACTTTTCAGGCTGTGCCTTCTCACATGGAACACATGCAGTGTCCCGCTAATGCCAGTTAATTCCACGGAGCACAGTACACATTGCAGAGAGCCAGCATGTCTGAATCTGCTCTGGAACAGGCTGCATGCAAGAGGAAACACTGATTTTGTGTAACTATCCTATGCAGCATTCTGAGCCTCTTTTAGCATGTTCTGTTTGGGGGGAGGGGGAGCACTGCCATCCAGCTTCTTCCAGCACCATCAATATAATGCCAGAAGTCACATCAGAAGAGACTGCAGCACGGATTCCTTTCACACTAGCATGATGTCTCCCACAAACGGGGGTAATTATGGTTTGGGATGAAGCCACATCTGGCCACCTCTGAAGTAACCTGAAGCTTCTAACACCAACTTTACAGTATTTCAAGGGGATGCCCCTGAACTTTCACAGTATCAAGGCAACATCTAAAGAGGCACTCAAAATAACAATAAATGTGCTCACTGGCCCTTGGTCCCAGGGTGTGACTTTAAGGCACTTGAGACAGCCAGTTCACTGAGTCTCAGCTGGTGCCTGACTGGATCAGCACCATTTATGCCTTTTTAAAATATGGAAAAGCGACTATTATAATAGAGACACAGACACTTTCCAGCACCAAAATGCTATGTTGGAAATCCCAATACCCTCAGAAAAGTATTCAGGCTATGATAGTTTCCAAATATACAGTATTTTGCAAAAACTGAATCATTTTTCCAGCTCTAAGTCAATCTGAGTTTTTCAGGATTCTTGTCAGATAATGGATGTGGTAGCAAAAAACAAAAATAGTAATTATATTCGCTAAGGTGTAGAGCAAAGTGAGATAAATAGACCTGATGGATATTATATCGGTCTCATATTTAGTGGCATTATTTACTCATTAGATGCCTGGTGTTGAATCTCAGAATGAAATCTTACCTCTTGCTGTGCATTTTCGATGCTGTAGCTGTTCTGTAATCCTGTGGTTGTTCATTGTCCTTCCTAGCCAATAGAGCAGTCTGTAGATTTTATATAATTGACATATGTAATTTATATATATTGAACTAGGGAATTTTAGGTGTTTGCATTTTTATTTCAAAAATGTGCTGCCCATTAATTCCTTTGCTGCTCAGTTTCCCACATTTCTTTATTTTAGGTGAGTTACCAACAAATTGCAAAGAAGTAAAAAGGCTCAAAGTCATCAGTGAAGATGGAGAATATTACCTGAAAGTTAAAGGAAGACTCTTAAAGGTGCGAATCAGCCGCTGCTGCATCTTTGTTTGTGAACTTCATAGAATTCCAGGGTAGTATAAAATCTTTGGGTATTGTCTAGCTACTGTGTTCAAAATCTCTGCCTGACCATTCTTGCTTATAGTGCTGGAATTCTGTCTTCCATCCATTATGAATAGTGAGCATCATTTTGTTTAAACTTTATGGTTCAGCCACTGATTTCTATAGCCTTTAGAAGAGTGCATTCCTCTACCCTTCCCTTCCCTTCCGTGTGTGTGTGAGAGAGAGAAACTGATCCTTTGAATTTTATGTGCATGCTCCTTAAAATGCATTTCTACTCTATAAAATCTGTTTTTCTAAAATTCTAATCATAATTAATTCTGCTGTCTTGTGACTTCTGCTTTTGCATTTTCCATCCTTTGATTTCCTAGTCATGCATGTAACAGCTAGTGTTTGATAAAATTATGGCCATTTCTTTCAGATATATTGTGCTGGCATGGAATCTGACAGACCGAAAGAATATGTGACTCTGGTAAATGGCGATGCAGAGAATTTCTCAGAGGTGTACAGCTACAGGTAAGAACACCCAGCCACTTCTTATCTAATATTGCCCTGTTTTTCCTTCTGGGTGTTGCATTTCTTGACATGACTAGAAAAGGAACTTTTTCTTGATTCAGATTACATAACCCAACTGAATGTCCATATAATGGAAGTAGAAAAGAGGATTGTCAGTGCAGGAAAGATTACACAGCAGCTGGGTTTTCCTCCTTCAACAAAGTAAGGCTGGACCTGAACACTATGCAAATAATAAGTGAGTAACAACAAGACTTTATCATCAGAATGTTTGGAGGGTTTTTCGGTAGTAACAAGGGCTCAATTATTAATTTTAAAACAGACGAGTCGAACAAATACTGTCTTACCATTGCTCGGGTTAAATTTTTATACTATGCTATGCTTGAAAGGTGATCTTGTTTAAAATCCCAGAATATTGTGTTCTCTTTAGTTTAATCCAAACAAGAAAAGCATTGCTTTTGTGTTTTCTCTTTTCTCTGAATTCTTCCACCCTGATGGACATTTAGTGTCTTCGGGGATGTTCCACTTCCCTTCATGGGGTGAACTCAGACACAACATTATAATCATAAGCATTGCCCTGCAAATTATGGTTCACACATGATTCCTGTTTTGTCCAGTGGCAGGATAGGATCCCAAGTTTGTGGTCTGCCTGGAGTTACTTTCCGATGCAAGCTCCCTGAAGTGTTTTTTAGGGGGCAGCCTAAAAATACTTTTTAATTAAATTAAAATAAATGTCAGAACAAAACAAGACAGACTTTGTATGACATAAATGCCTGTCCTGTGGTCTTGAGCACATTTCCTTCATATAAAACAATGGTTAAAAAGTTGGATCCCTGGATATTTAGAATGCGTCTGTAAAGATAAATGATTTCACACCAAATAAGTCCTCAGTTTTAATATGCACAATGCATACATTGTGAATTGCATGCTTATTCGCTAACAATATTATTCAGGGATGGTTGCAGTGGATTAATGTTTAAAGCCAGGTATACTACATTAAATGAGGGCCAAATAATACAGTTGTGTATGTGTGTTTTTTTCCTTTGCTTTGCTTTTCTTTTCCCATTCTTCTTTTCCCTTTGTCTCTCTGGTTCTTACCAAATATTTTTCACAGCAACTGATTTACAGTTTGCAGAGACACTTGATGGACGACCTGTTCCTTACGCCACTGCTGGGGATTGCTACAGTGCAGCCAAGTGCCCACAGGTATCTCGACAATACTATTCTTCAGACCTTGGACCCATTTGTTACATTTCAGCATTATACGAATTACCCTTGATCAAGTAGTCACACTCCAGCTGCCCTTCCTGGCCTTTTCCACTAAGATATATGCATTCTGTTTTAAAAATAATATCGGGACACTTTAAAACACTGCTTGTTTGTTTAATTTATTGATTGATGTATTTATGCTCTCTACCTCCAAGCAATTAAAAGAACTAAAATAATAGTACCAAGATAGCATAGCTTAATGCCAACAACAGAGAATTAAAAGGTAAAGTAATTATTTAAAGCACATAACCCTGGAGCTAACCAGGTAAAATGCATAATGATACCAAGAAAAAAAAGCAGTAAAAGCCTTGGCAAATAACATTGTTTCCCCAGGATCACGAAGCCCGCATCAGATGTGGTGCTCTAGCAAAGGAATTCCAACTACAGGGTACTGCTGCAGAAACAGCCCATCTCTGGCCTTGCCCCAGATGGTAGAGGTCCCAGAGAAGGTCTAAAGACTGGATAGGTTTGTCTGGGAGCAACTAGTCTCTGTGGTTAGTGCATTAGTCTCAAGCTGCCTTAGGTGTCTTTGTGTTCCCAAGTTGCTTCCTAAAGTTAGCAAGTGCTGCATAAATGACCAGTCCTTATAAACTATGAAATACAAATAGCATGCTTGATGTTTGGTTTAGCAAACAAAAGTGTAGCACATGTTACGAAATACAAGTGCGACTACTCTGTCCATGTTAAGTAGGGGGAAAGAAAAGATGTCTCTTCCATTAGTCAAATGTAGGAAGAGATGTCGGGCTTTCTCTGAACACCTGCAGAACGTTAAACACCAAGGAATATTAGGCAAAGGGGAAGAATGCCCTCACCTGGCAGTCGGAAGCAAAGCAGCCTTTCCCCAGAAAACTGCAAATGAGGAGAAATGCTTAATCCCACTCCTGCTGTGATTTGTACAGTATGTGCTAATCGCTATGAGGGCTTGGAGCAAACGAAAACATTGCTGGGGAGATCTTGTTAGAATAATGACACCATGGCTTGTTGTTACTTGGGGGTGGGGTGTTGCAGCAATGGAGAATAACAGCATTCTTACAGACCTCCTTTTCTATTTTCCCCTTTTTAGGAGCATGTTTTGTTATTTAGTAGTCATTTCAGAAAACTTTTAAGATCTAATACATGTCCTTATTTTCTCTTTTTTTTTCTTCCTTCCTTCCTTTCTCTTTTTCTTTTTTCAAAGGGTCGTTTTAGCATCAACCTCTCTGGAACTGGCCTGTTGGTAACACAAACATCAGAATGGCTTTCCCAAGGGAATTATGCTGTTTCTGAAATTATAAAATCGCCAGTAAGGAACACTTAAATTCAATCCAAACTCAGCATTATCCCCATTAATCTGCCACATCTAATTGCCATATACCTTCTTCTGTCTTGTAAATATTAGAGTGGGAGTAGAGTCAAAATAAACCCTTGAAATGTAATGTAAGGCAGAAGAACTGTGAAGCATGCTCCCTAATTGGTGGATTTGGAGCCACAGATTGGAGTAAATTCAACTTGATCTGTATTATTGCAATTAATTAGTGGGTCTGCTTAACCGTGAAGCTAAAAACACTGAGCACAGTGGTTCAGACACTTCTTTAATTAGTTGTCTGAGTCCTCAGGAAGTATGCAGTTGGAAGCCTACTCTAACAGTGCTACTGAGCATAATAAAATCCTAAGGAGATTACTTTTCCAGGGCCTGCAGTTCTTAAGCCTAAATTCTGTCTCCACACACCCTCATGCTCCATGGATCCAGGTATCGGCACGGAGTTAGGCCAGTATTTAGCAGAGATTAGTTATATGTTTGCATCTATTGCATGCTCCTATTCGGCACATACAGTGCAATCATAATAAAGAACCATTTATCTGTACAATGCTTACTGGCTCAGGGTAGGCTGCAGGCCTGTCACCCATCCAAAATCACTCCATGCCAAGCTGAGAGGTTGAGCAACACACAGGCTGAAGAATGTGGTACAAGCCTTCATGCAAATAAGTAAATGCATAAAATCTACAGTGTGCCTTACTTGATCTTTCCTGGTATTGAACTGGTAGCCTTTCTAGTCATAACATTGTCCCATGTTCTTGGATTCTAGCTGGACACTACACTCAGCTTGTGGGACCTTCCACCAGGTGCCAACCCCTCAAAAAGCTCAGAGGGTAACAACTAGGGGGAAAACCTTTAGCCCCCCCCCCCCATCCATCCCTAGAATAACCTCCCTGCTGTGGCCCATGAGGCACCACATTTGCCAACTTTTTGGTACCAGGTCAAAACAGCCCTCTTTGCAGAAGCCTGTAAAGACCTCCCTGGTCATTCAGGGGCCTGACACAATCAGCCAATTCCTTTTTATTATTGGCTGGATCTTTTTAATTATCTTTTTATTGTTCTAATATTTGTATACTATTTTAATTAATTTTTAATTCTTGCTAATTTTTAAATCTATTGTCTTTTATTATTGTTACACCTTCTTGTAAACTACCCAGAGAGCTTCTGCTGTGGGCAGTATCGAAATGTAATTAACAAATCAAATTCATTAATCTCAAAATTAGCCCTAATAGTTTCAGGGATCCAACATCTATTAGGTTTCCTACAGAATCCCAGTGAAGCAGAATAACAGAAGATGAAAGTATGCATGTGTTTATCTTGCAGTGAATGGATTGTTGCACTTCATGGAGAGCATAAGCAACAGAACAGCTGCCGTGCTTGACCCACTCACTATCTCAGCTGTCACAGCAGGGACAGAAAAGCCAAGACTAGTGGAAAAGTAAAAGCTGTAAGGCTGGTCTTAAAAGGGACAGTGCAGAAGGAAACTTTCACCAGTAAATTGGAAGCAGCTGAAAGAAATCAGCACAAAGAAAGAGTCCCAGCTGACCAAATTAAAACAAAAGCCGAGACACTCTCCATGTAAGCCACACTATTTACCTTGATCATCTCCTGGGCACAGCTCTCGGTGCTTAGGTGCCAAGAGCATAGGGGAGCAACAATGCTCGTAGGAGCATCCTGTCAGCAAGCCTCAAGCTGAATAGTTTCAAGCTCAAAAGGTTCATATGCAGCAGCTTAACAACAGCAGAAAGGACTGTGAGACATCTTGAGTACCGCCTGGGCCAACTTTGATATATATTCTGCCTTCTGAGAAATAGTTGAATGTGGGAGCATCTAAAGGCATCATAAGGCAGTGAACCCCACAGGGAGATGCTTTGCTGTACTAAGCAGATTAGCATAGATTGCCATGGTCAAGATCTAAAGTTGTGCATCTCTTGAAATACGAAAGGGAAGGGCTATGTTACTTTTTATATTCTAAATGTTAATTTTTATTTGCAAAACTTTACAAGGCTTGATTTGTTTCCCTTTTTTTGAAAATCAGATAATCATGTTCTTTACTTGCAGTTGTTACATGTAGTCAAGTCATCTTCAACTTATGAGGACACCATTCTCTCCAAAGTGCCCTGTTCTTCACAGCCCTGCTTAGCTCTTGTAATCTCAAGGCGTGGCTTCCTTCATGGAATTGATCCATCTCATAATTGACCTGATTCTGCTTCTGCTACTGCTTCATTGTCTTGCTCTTGTTCTTCCTTGACTTTCTCTACTCTATTTCCCTATACCACCTACCAGAGGTATAGAAATTAAATACATAAAACCATTGTCTTCTCTAGTTAATCTTGCCTTCTGATGATGTATTTACCTAAAGTATGATAGCTTCAGTTTTGTAATTTTAATTTCAAGGAAGTTCTGGCTTGATTTGATCTAAGACCCACTTGCTCATCTTTCTGTTGGCCCAGGGTATTCTCAAAACTCTTCTCTAGCACCATGTTTCACATCTGTTTTTCTCCCTGTCAGCTTTCTTCACTGTTCAGCTCTTGCATCTATGCATGATAATGAGGTATACAATACTGTGGATGAACTTGACCTTGATCTTCAGTGAAATGTCCTTAAAATTTACGATCTTTTCTACTTCCTTCATTGCTGCTCTTCCAAGTCTCAGTCTCCTCAGTCTTAATGTTCAGCTGTAGTCCTGTTTTTGTGCTTTCTTCTTTTACTTCATCCAGAGTCATTTTGGATGTTGCTTTCTGCCAGATGATAACATAGTATCATCTGGATATTTTCAGTTATTGATGGATCTTCCACCAGTTTGCACTCCCACTGATCCTAATCCAGCTTTCCTTATCGTGCATTCTAGATACAGATAGGGTAATAAAATACATCTTCTCTGACACCTTTTCCTATACAAAACCACATGTTTCTCCTTTTTCTGTCCTTATTGTATTTTCTTCTCCATGATACAGGTTACACATCAAGATGATCTCCCATTTCTTTCAGGATCATCCATAGCTTCTCATGATCAACATAATCAAAGGCTTTGCTGTCACCTATAAAGCATAGATCTTTCATGTGCTCCAGTAGCCAGCATATATTTGCAATAGGATCACACATAGAGTTGGGAAGAACTTTTTCAAAATCTGTCCCTCTAGCATCTTTGGACTTCCTCTCATGCTTGGCTCAGCCCTACAAAGTAAGACAAGCCAACAGGAAGTGTGCAAATGCTCACGGAGCCACAGTTGTGCAACTGGCAACCCTTCCCTTCGGGTTTGGAGACCCAAATAGCAGCTGTGAATGCAGGAGAGGGGTGTTGAGAGCAGTTGAGCCAGGTGCCATTTCCCACCTTCTTCCCCTCCCTCCCAGTGAAACAGGTGGAGGCAGTGCTGGGTGCAGAGGAGAGCTGCTGCATGCAGAGTCTGTGGATCTTGGTGCCCAGCGAGCGCCCTCCAAATGCTGGGGAGAGTCCCCAAGAACTTGGGCCCAGGGCTGCAGGCAGAGGCCGGGGAGCCAAGCCCAGTGAGTCTAGCAGATTCCCCCCATAAACGGATTCCTCACATGTCCCTAATCTCAAGTGCCTCTTCCTTTTCCAAAGCCAGCTTGAACATCAGACATTTCTCATGCAGAGTAAAATTCTTTTAAGCAACACCTTGGGCATCACTTTGTTTGCCTGGAAAAGTAGTACTGCCATTCGCTGTGCCTCGTGCCTGTTAACGTCCCTCGCTAAGATCTTTGAGTCCTTACTGTCCGTTTTTTGCCTTTATCCCTTCTTTAACTCTAAAATATTATATTCCAAGTTTGTATATCCCTCTCTCTTTTTTCTATTCGTAAAAAAAACAAACCAAAAATATTATCTTGCCCTCTGTCCTATCATCTTTTCTTCTTTTTCTGCGATGGTGCAGCGAGCGGCCTTCCGCAAATGCACCAAATGCGGATCCAAAATGTCACCTGCGGATCCGCATGATCTATGCCTTCTCTGCCTCAGCGAGGGGCATAGAACTGACAAGTGCAGCCATTGCTTGGCATTTACCAAGCAAGCACGGAAGAACAGGGAGAACCGTCTCCGGAAGCTCCTCTGGGACCAGGCCTTGATGCAATCTGATCAACTGCTCTTACGGCCTGGTTCCTCTTCAGCCGCACCTCCTCCGTGCTCTGCCTCAACTGTGAGCACTCCTCCGAAGCGTCCCACTTCCACCGCTCCTCCGAAGCACCCTTCGGCTGAAGGCGCTACTCCAGTGAAGACCCAGGTGCCGCCTTCTTCCCCAGCCAAGAAACGGGAGAAGCACAAGCCCATGGGTTCGGATAAGCCTTCCGCTCGTAAAGTACTGAGAAAGGAGAAGGCAGATAAGCCCACTCGCAAAACCAAGAAACCTGATCACCCCAAAACGGGGGCTCAGGTTCGTCAGGCTTCTCGGTACCGTCTGCCGCCACGGTACCGACCCCTTCGGGACCGGTCCTGCAGCTCACTATGCAGGTGACACTGCTGGGATCCCCCAGGCTTATCATTCGGCCTGAGAGTTTGTCACCCCAACACGTGGAGGAGCCGCTTCGGGAGTCCATCTCTTATGGTGAGATTAGAGGCTCCCCACCGAGGGAACGATCTCCGACTCCAATGCCCACGACTGAGCCACCTGCGGAGTCACCGTCACCACCTAGGTGCCGCAGCCGCTCGTTGGAACACCGGGATGACGATTGGAGGATGCATGGATATGGTGCCTTCCCAGACTGGGGTGGTTACCAATCCTATCCATATTTCCCTCGAGATCGTGCGCCTCCATCGGTCCCGAGAGATTCGCCTTTGACGTCCAGGCATGTGGAGAGGGGACGTCCAACCTCCCCCGAAACATCGTCTTCGAGCAACCGTCCTCCTTATTATCCGGATTCGGACAAATCTGAGGTTGACTCTACATCCCCTGATATAGTAGTCGCCTCCCAAAGACCTGCTTCACCCAATGAGCCACATGTCTCTTTTACGGGGCTCATGTTCTGCCTCATCC